AGAAAGACCTTGGGTCTAGATTGCATTTGGTGTTCAGTATTGCCAGTCACTAATCAGCTAAGTACCATAATCCTTCTTACAGGGTACATTCTTCCTTGACCTGAAACTATATACAGCCACACAGTAACAGCATTAAAGAATAACCTTTCCTGAACAGGCCTGGCACTAGAGACTTTTATAACTTCAGCCTTGAATGAGTGCTGCTTTATGTGTAACTTTTTAGTAATTGAGTTTTGAAATCAAATGATTGTAAGCAAGGAGTGACTCAGATCATCTGATTACGGATGGCTGTTATGGTTTTGCTAGGGCTGGAAGGATTACGTGAAAGCACTGCCTGGCACAATGTTGATGTATTTTCGTCAACATGATGCTTCATGCTCGACAGATGTGCATTGGTTGAACAAAAGGTAAAAAATGAAAAACATTACATATTAATCAAGATATGTAAAATTTATTTTATGTTTTGGTAAATATAATTTGGTTGTTTAACGCTTTTTGTATTAACAGTAAGGATGGAAGCTATTTATTTCATGTATTTCAGGATCATATATTTCTGTTAAATCCTCAGTTTCACTATATTTGAACAGCTTTAATTTTACTTTATTAATAATTTTATTAATAATATTTTGCAATATTATGTTTGAGTTCTTATCTATCATTGTGTAATTGTATTATTGAAGTATTATTTTCATTTATTTGGTAATTTATATGCTTTAAAAATGTTATGTTTCCAGATTATTGAGTTTTTCAAATATCAGTTATGAGATTTTATTTATAAAATGAAAAAAACTCATGCTAAGAAAGATTATGAATGAGAGACTTTAATATAATTAACATTTAATTTTAAGAGTATAAAATTTCAATTTGCCAAAATTACTAGTATTTAAATCTTTAATTTTACTTTCACTATTATTAACATTCTTAAAATTGAATATATCCTCAATTGCTGGTTGAAAATATGTGAATACTAAAACTTATTTAATTTTCATTGTCCCTATAAATGTTTTCAAATGTGTACTTGCTTATATTTTCAGAGAGTTGATGATTATTTGATGATTATTTTTACCACCAAAAATATGGACAGTAGTATAAGTAGTATAGTTAACACAAAAATAAAATAATAAATTTGATTAATATAAAAATGGAAATATGGTATATTTCTATACAATATGAAAACTTGAGACTCTCTTTGGAAAATTTAAAAAAGTGACTTAAATTAGGAAATACAAATTTTTTATTTTGTTTTCCTATCAGTCCGTATGAATTTTGAACCATAAAAATTTTAGAGTAATTGGTAGAATTTCTTACTCACTTTATTGTGAATAGATAGATAGTGTGTTATAAACTAGAATATTTTGAAGTAAATTGAATCATTAGTCTTCATGGCAAGTTGTAACCAATGAATAAAAATACTACTCATTAAAGTAGATTAAGGATGTTTACAACGTGATTTTCTATTAACAAGTTTCTGTTAGGGCCATTATTATATGGCAAAACACAAAATAATTATTACAGTCTAGAATAAAGATAAGTAGTTAAACTGATAAAATATATACCAGGGAAATATAAAGTGAATATAAATATGTATTGATAATACTATATTAGAAAATAGGAGTTAATAGAACCCATGGGGTAAAAAAATTAATATACTATGTAGAGTCACAAATACACTTTTTGTTTTAAGACATGCTTTGGGTTCTGTCTCTTAATTTCACAGTCTTTGAAGGACTGATTGTCACATTCTAGGTGAATTGTTCTATTACTTAGTCATAGCTTATGGGTTAAAATACTGTAAAATGCTTTAGTATTCTTTAGAGAAACATACAGATTCTTTTACTATTAAATGTTTTCTACCTGGTAACAATCAGGACTAAGGTTTGTTTATAAAGACTTGTATTAAAGACATAAATTAGGTATCACAGTACTTGAACTCGGATTTCCTTTAGTTCCTGAAAACACAGTAAATAATGTCTAAGAAATGTAGAAGTGTGAAAATTTTGATGGACAATGTTAGTGTAACTGGTAGCAGATTTTTACTGCTTGCCAATGCTACAATGAAACTGAACTTGACTTCTAGCAGTTTTTAATACACCATAACGTACTATAATTTAAAGTCTATTTTTAAGTAATTGTATCTAGTTTAAGTAACAGTGACAGTCATTCCAATGTTTAAACACTGTTCTGTTTTTACTTAAATCTCATGTTTAAACACTGTTCTGTTTTTACTTAAATCTCGGACAAATGAGCATGTGTACTATGATTCACCTGCTTCTGGCATATTTCATAATCTCTAGAACAAAGTGATTTCTGCATTTAATATCAAATTTAATTTTCCCCAAATGTGATTTTTAAATAGTTCTTACATGGTTGCCAAATACTAATTAGTAAATCTTTCTTTTGGAAGTAAATTCTGTAATAGGAAGAAACTATTCTTATTTTTCTATTTATAATAATCCTCATAAAAGACTCACTAAATTCACTTTATTCATATTCATTTAAAAATTTGTTATTTCCTCAAAAATATGAGTAGTTTCCTTCAATTTTTAATACTTACATTACACTGACTATAAGTTAAATATGTTGCTGGCAGTCCTAATGCTTTAACCTCATTTAGACAAATCAACTCCATTGTTATGGTATTATATTATAAAATCTTAGTCCCTAAAAGTTGGAGGAAGGTTTTAAGATCATTCAGCTTTTTAAGTAAAGGGTATTTTATTTGTTTGTGGGTTCCTAGTCTATATTTAAGCGTTTAGTTTTAATGCAGTGCATATTTGTCTAATTAATGTGACAATTAAGTTCTACAATATTTTTATTTTAAATCATTTACTCCCCAAAATTAAAAGACTACATAGACTCAATAACTGGCTAATAGCAAAAGTACTTCTAAGAAATGCAGATCCTCTTGCTCTAGCATTCTTTTTATAATATAGTTCTAGCACATAGGAGGTTTTTCCTTAGTTAGTCATATAAGATTCATGACAAGAGGAAAAAGAATTGTATATTACATGTACATGTGTGTATATATAGTTTTATAGGTTAATAATATTGAATTTAATTTAAATGCCCTATCTTCATTATATTTTTAAAGTTTATCTTCTTAAATAATAATTATACACCTAAGAAACTGGTAATTATTAAGTTTATAGTTATTAATAACACATAAAGCTAAGAAACGTAATTACATTCTCAGTGTTTTATATGAACGTATAAGTTCATGAAAAAAATCACATCCATTTGCTGAGTTATAAAATAATCAAAGGATAGACTAGTTCTTTTATTTAGTGTGTTTTTCCTTTTGTGGTTTCAGGTTAGAATCTACTTTGGTTTGGCTTGGGTGAGATTTGAAAGGATGAATAGATAACATGAGTCATTATTGTCAAGAAATACTTTTTAGCAGTCATATGAGTAGATGTGACTCTTAGGAAGCTCTTATTGATTAGCTACAATTAATTCAATGAGCAGTTGAGATCATTAATGATAAATTCCAAAGATCCCTGGGCTTCATTGCTGCTATCTAATGTCCATTTTCAGGGCTTTGTATGCTTCCTTGTCACTGAACTCCCTAGCCTTCATTCTTCTAGTTCATTCAGTTGTCGAGCTTCTGATTTCTGTATGAAAACACTTTCTGCTTTTATAGCAAACTCTTATGGATAGTGTTTTGGTAGACTATTTCAACAATGAGGGATTGCTGGTTCAGTAGCAACAGGGAGAAGTGAGAGGACAGTAATGATTTTTCCGATTATGTCATTCCACTCTAACCTTTCTCTACTCTTGCCCTTTTTTCATTCACCTCTCAAAAACAAGGCTAAGAAATTCATAACTAAGCTGTCAAATCTTGGACATTTTTAGCTTCCTACCTTTTTTTAAATTTCTTGTTCCCATTCTGGCAAAATTCTCATAGCAGTTACTCTAAACCTTTTTTATCTGCTGGAGTATAATCCTATTGCTTTTTGTGGCTAGTGGTTGACATTATCTGAGTTTATGTTAGAGATGAGGACATTGCTAATGTTCTGTTGATAGATTATTTGTGATTGTAAGATCTGTAATGTTATATCAATATTAGAGATGCATATTGAGAACTTAAGTTATAATTTATTACATTTTAACAACTTAACTCGTAAGTTACAATAATAACATAATAGCATATGACTTATAACTTGATTGTGTAAAGAAGTGGGTCAGGGGGCTGGGAAGGTGTCTCAGTGGTAGAGTGCTTGCCTCGCATACATGAGGCCCTGGGTTCGATTCCTCAGCACCACATAAGCAAAAAGACAAAAGCCGGAAGTGGCTCTGTGGCTCAAGTGGTAGAGTGGCTAACCTTGAGCTGAAGAGCTGAAGGACAGTGCCCAGGTCTAGAGTTCAGGCCCCACAACCAACAGAAAAAAAAAAAAGTGGGTCATATATAAAGAGCAGTGTCACCAAACCGGCCTTAATTTTAATGAAGATGGGATAAAAATTGCAATATGGGTAGGGCTTTTGTGATAAGTAATTATTGTGGTATTTATTTAAATTTAAATACTGCCAGATCAGTAAAAGGGATTGGAAACAAGATAAAGATTTAGTGAACCAGTATTAGCAGTAATATAGAGAGATGAGGAATGAAAGATGAGTCTAAGAAAGTACTCAGTTTTAGAGATAAGTCAATTAGGCATTACTATGTTATTAGCTAACTTTCATATCATGTTGGAAATAGAGAAAATGGACAGAAATCTTTATTTAACTTACTAACATTTAGATTGAAGTATGGTAGGCAAAGATATTAGAATAAAAACTTTATAGCAGCAGAATATGATATTGGTCATTTAATTTGAAGTTTAAGTATATCCAACGTATTAGTGAAATCTCAGTAATCTTTTGGCTTGAATAAGATCAGTTTTACTAAACTGCTGTTATGGTATATCTTTAAAATTAATAAAAGAGAATTTTTCCATTAATCTGGTAGTGAATCATAAAATGAAAAAAATTGTTTAAATGTTGAACTTCTCATTGTTACTTAGGAAAAGAAGTCCTTCAGTGTCCAGAGATCAGAATAGAAGATACGACCAAAGGGAAGATAGAGAAGAATATTCACAGTATGTTCCCTCAGACAGCACAATGCCAAGATCTCCATCAGATTATGCTGATAGACGATCTCAACATGAACCTCAGTTTTATGAAGAATCTGATCATTTAAATTATAGAGACTCCAACAGGAGAAGTCATAGGCATTCCAAAGAATACATTATAGATGATGAGGACGTGGAGAGCAGAGATGAATATGAAAGACAAAGGAGAGAGGAGGAGTACCAAGCTCGCTACAGGAGTGATCCAAATTTGGCCCGGTATCCAGTAAAGCCACAACCCTATGAAGAACAAATGCGGATTCACGCTGAAGTGTCCCGAGCACGGCATGAAAGAAGGCATAGTGATGTTTCTTTGGCAAATGCTGAACTAGAAGATTCCAGGATTTCTCTATTAAGAGTGGACCGAACATCAAGGCAAAGATCTACATCTGAACGTAGAGCTGCGATGGAAAATCAACGATCTTATTCAATGGAAAGAACTCGAGAGGCTCAGGGACAAAGTTCTTACCCACAAAGGACCACAAATCATAGTCCCCCTACCCCTCGGAGGAGTCCAATACCCATCGATAGACCAGATATGAGACGAACCGACTCACTAAGGAAGCAACATCACTTAGATCCCAGCTCGGCAGTAAGGAAAACGAAACGTGAAAAAATGGAAACGATGTTAAGGAATGATTCTTTGAGTTCAGACCAGTCAGAATCAGTGAGACCTCCACCACCAAAGCCTCATAAATCAAAGAAAGGGGGTAAAATGCGCCAGGTTTCACTGAGCAGTTCAGAGGAGGAATTGGCTTCCACACCTGAGTATACAAGTTGTGATGATGTTGAGATTGAAAGTGAGAGTGTAAGTGAAAAAGGTAAGCTCTCTGCCTCATACTTTTTGCTCTTAAAGCTTTTCTTTTTAAGTTGTCCTTCTGATAATCCTTCAATAGCTAAATATGTGTATCTCCCTTTAAATTTTTGAATAGTATTGATACAAGGAAAATCTCAGGTGTTGTTCATGTGGAAGAAACTTTACTTTAAAAAAAACAGCCTTTTTATTTCTGAAAGTTTTCTTGTATCATTCAGTGGCATATTAAAACAATGTTTAGTAGGTCTAGTGTTAAATCTAACACTTATTTATATGTCTCCAAATAAAAATAAAAATATGTTCACTATAGAAACATTTCTCAAAGTATAAAGTATGAAAATACATTTTATCCATTTTTCTTTTTTTCAGATATAGCCATCATTAAAATTTTATATTCTCATCCTTTTTTCCCATACAATATAGTTTATGTATTTATAAAATTGGATAATTCTGTGTAGAATTTTCTGTCCTAATATTTCCAATTGATATTATACAATAAGTCTTGTTTCAAGCCATTAGGTATTTAAAATTGTGTTTAAATGGCTTTATTAGTGTTCTATCATAAGACAGTACTACATTCTAAATATTTATTTCAGGCATTGTAGTAGTTGCTTCCAATTGCTAATGTAAATAATATGTTATTTTTATATATAATTATTGCCTATTTCTCTGAGTCTTTCAGAAATATATATTTTCTCTTTGGATTCTAAAACTTGAGTTCAGTTTTCCAAATTTGGAAATTTGGAATTCAGATTTCCAAGTTGTTTTCCAAAAATATTATTAACATTCTGTTCTCTCCTATCAGAAGTGATTAAGCTTTTCATTTCAATACATCAAATTCTTGAAAGTTGAATAGGCTACAAAATATGTCCTCTCATTATCAATTTAAGTTAAATTTGATCTTGAGGTTGAATGTTTTATATGCGTATTGACATTTGATGTCTTTTATGAATCATTGGTTAAATTATTCTTTCTATTTTTCTTAATAGATTTGCTCTTATTAATTTTTTAGATTTCTCTCTATATTAGGATTTTATGACATGTAACTGTTATTTTTCACATTTATTTTCTATTTTCATATTTGATTATTTAGAAATGCAGAATTGAAGACAGCTACATCTTTGCATGTTTGTTGATTTTTTCCCCATTATTTTTATTCTTATAAACTCCTCTTTCACCTTCAACTCAATGAATGTTTAGCTATTTTTGTTATTTTTGCTACTTTTTGACTATTTAATCTTTATGGAGTCTATTTTGGTTTAATACAAAATGCACCAGATAGGTGAGTATCTAACCTGAATCCCTTGGCCCAACACTCCTCTTTCTTTGTTCGCCAATTTTATTACAGTATTTGGTGCTTAGCCCATTTCTTTTTTTTAATAAGCACTGAAAGGAATCTAAAAGGAATTCAGGAAGGCATCTAGATATAAAATATGATAGAATTAACTTTTATACCATATTGAATAGAATTAGTTAAAAAATAGGAATCAGGACACTCCCTATTTTGAATAAAACAAGAAATGTGATTTAAAAAGAAGTATCAAGAGTTCGGCTTGGGGATGTGGCTCAAATGGTAAAGTACTTTCCTGGTAAGCATAATTTCTTAAGTTTAAACCCAATTGCTACCAAAAATAAAATAATAGAAGAAAACAAACCAACAATGAAAGTGAAAAGAATAATGGACCTTATAAGAAAACTCATAAACTTTTACTGAGTAATGTAAAAGAAGATGTGATTGGAAGTTCATGTTCCTAATTAGGAAGAATAATTATAAAGATGCATACCACATAATCTCTTCATATTAGCCACAGTCCCATTTCAACACTTAAAATATCTTATTTTCAGGGGCTGGGAAGGTGGCTCAGTGGTACAGCGCTTGCCTTGCATGCTCGAAGCCCTGGGTTCGATTCCTCAGCACCACATAAGCAAAAAGAAAAAAGCCGGAAGTGGCGCTGTGGCTCAAGTGGTAGAGCGCTAGCCTTGAGCT